AGTCAGACAGTAATTCCTATAAAAGTAATGATAATAGCCTCTTAAATAAATGATGTCTTATTTAATTACGATCCGAATAATTATTCATCAATGAATATAAATGAGCCGTAGCCCGTAATGTAAAACATTTGTAGGTAAATTGCTGTAAATGTTTCGTGGTGTTTCTCAATTCATGAAACTTATTTGCTATATTTTCCTCTTGCCAACTGATGTTATTTTAGGAACTATTAAAGGATGGCCAGAGACGCCAGAGTCATTGGACACTTCTAATAATAAGTAACGCAGACGCCAGATGCGACATTGTTTTTAATTATTACTTTACCGACTGAGTTTAATAATTAAAAGTTATGATGGAAGACTGCGCGGGGGGAAACTGAACAAGTAGAGTCAACGTCAAATAGTCATGACACACAAAGTGTCCAAAAAGTTGACAAAACAACCATATTCCTAGTAACAAAGACGTGTTGCGAACTTTTCATTCTCAAACGATTAGGTTCGTTCGTCCGTTCGTTCGTTTTAGCCGAAAGACGTCCACTGCTGGACAAAGGCCTCCCCCAAGGATTTCCACAAAGACCGGTCCTGCGCCGCCCGCATCCAGGTGCCTCCCGCGACCTTCACCAGATCGTCGGTCCACCTAGTGGGAGGCCTGCCCAAGAACTTTCCTGCCCCAGCGGCCGCCCTGCCCACTGCCACTTGATTTTAGCGATTCTGCGGGCTAAACGATTAGGTACTTTTTGCAATTTACTGAAAATCTCTTTTATATTTTTTCTTTATAATTTTAACCCTACCACTGCAATGGTTATGGGAACACAACGTGGTGCCAAAAAGATGCAACGCAAATACCTATCATATCCTCTTTATTATTACACATTTTAATATCATTATTTATTATAATGCGATCTAAACAAAACATGTATACCTATCTGCCAAAACGGAATATATTCTGGATGAAATAGCCTATGACATCTTATCTGACAGGCAATATATTACGAAGATGTTCATAATAATATCGTTGTCATAGCACACGAGTCCCTGTCAAAATTAGCTAAAGACAGCTCGTCAAACTATGCATTTTTGTTCCAAAATCGCTCTTATTTCAACGGCTATAAGATACGGCAATGTTAATTTTGACATGCCGTTGTCCGTGCCATATACCAGTAATATATTCCATGGGTGTTGGCAGTGGCACCGCCTACGTCATGGGGCATCCCAAATGTATTCGGCCCTTGCTACCGTTTTCCTGCTAACCGATGGTCTACAATTTAACTATGCGTAGTTAAAGGGGCAGAGTTCATTGGACATTGGATTTATCGAAAATGGCAAAATAAGTGGCAATGGCCCATAACACTGGTTGAGTTTTATACACTATCAAGCTTTCGATCCTGGTTTAAGTATACAGGAGTTTCAGTGGCGGGAACTAGTGGTGGGATTTATCCCGGAAATTCTACTAAACTTAAAAGATATTTTGCCTAATTATCCTCAGCACAATCAGCATAGTAACACATGGTGTCAATGACCGCTTAAGAGCACCTGATAACGTGGACAGGTCATTAGTGGGCGATAGCAGCCAACTTCCTAATTATGAAGTTTGGAGATTGTAGAAGTCGTCTGTCAAGATACGAACAAACGAACTTTTTTATTTGACACATGTCAAAGTTACGCACACGCAGGAATAGCAGCAGGCCGGAAATAATAGTTTTTTTTTTTTTTCAGAATTATAATAACTTGAATTTATCCTCTTAAAATGAAAGTAAAGAGAGACGTTCAGTTTTTCCCTATTTCGAATTGTTTCCGAGAAAAAATTCCAATTATTATCTTCATAAGAATCTTACTGATACTTCAACGAATGATCTAATTCTAAGCAACACAATATGCGATATATTTTTGACATAATATTATACTACCCTACATACGGCTTATTCCCAAAGGTCCACGCCTACCACATACCGATCGACTTCTTCCTAAATCTAGATTTTAGACACTTCTAACCCCATTCAACTTCAACCCATCATCATAGAAAGCCTAACCCCACTTAACCCTCCTAGTAATGGTCCCTTCGCCCTCAAACCCTCAATCAATAATGACCACCTGCACTATCTGACGAGGCTAGGTCATCGACCGTGGGTATTTGGGTCTAGATAAATGGGGTCACAGCCAATAAGATTGTAGGAAAATTTTGGGAGAAGTGTTTATTTTTCTAAGCATGAGAAAATTCAACCTTGAAACGAATTAGACTTATTGAAAAGTGAAAACTAGCGGGTGAATTTCGTTCTGACACAGAAAGTTCAGTTTTCGGGCATGTATAGCCTAATATCCTACACTCACAAAACAAATGATGTGGCGTTCTATTGAAAAAATATTTTCAGAATCTTTAATAGACCCAGAGATTGTTAATGTCATATCAATGATACGGGGTCCCAGGGCTTCAGGGGCCCACAGGATGCCCCAAGCAAGGCCGCACTATTTTGGATTAGGCAGGCAGAGTGAGATAATTATAATCAGATGTATTGATAATATGAATTTTAATGTATTATTGACATTCTTACTTGACATTATAATGATACATGCCAATATCTTGGTAAAACATGTTGAATCACCTGTAAAACTGTAAGACCAATCATGTTGCTCTGTAATAATATGTTTTCACACATATATGGGTCATTCCATAAAAATCTGTATATTTTCGACGTCATTTTGTCCTAAACTTTTTTAAGATGCTTTTGAATACTTTATTAGTGTAAATTATAGTTTATGTATTAATTATGTTATGTCTAAAAGGGCCAGTCATTTTATGCTTTATTTTAGGAGAAATTATAATTTTAAGTTTTTTCATACTACATTACTCCTATGTGACTTTTAATAAAGTATAAAACTTACAACCTTAACACTTATAGATAAGTTAATATACTTAATGTAGTTGTTGTGTTAATAATACTATATAAAAAACGTTATTCCCTAACTAGTAACTTAGTCCCTAGCGCCGTTTAAAGCTAGGGCCTGACGGTCTAGGGACTGACGATTTGAAGTAAAATTTAACAAAAATGCAGATTAACTTTATATTATAAGATGCTTGATACGATGTGCCGAAAATAGCCGAAAAACCACACTTAAATACTATTAAATTATATACAATTTCCTATTGTAATCAATAAAGCTACTCAACTAGGGACTGACGAAGTGACTGTATCAACACATGTTTTCGCAACATCTGGCACGTTTGCACTAATTCAAAAAACGGCTGCCGCAAAGCCAGTATGTTCTGAGGATAACTTCGTATCGTACTTTAAACTCAACTAAATGTCATTCACTCTAAATACACATTAAAGCGCAAAATTATAAAATCAGTGCGTGGCGAGGGAATGACGCTAAAAGCTGTGGACTCTTTTTCAACTAAAGAAAATCAAATTATTGTTTATTGAAATCGCAAAATATTAATAGAATTTGGTGTAATATAGGTTTGAATAGAATATTCGTTAATTATAATAAAGGATCAAGTTGATGTTTTTATAAATATGGGTTCCAAAACACAAACTTTTGGAGTACGGACATGCCTAGGGAATGACGTTTTGGGTCATTTAAAAGGTATTTAAGATGTTTGAAAAATATTTTAAAAAATATAAATGGGTGATGAATAAAACACCATTGCGAGCTGTTATTTAACAATTTTGGAATAAAATATTAACAAACATTTCTTGTGAAATGTGGCGCGGACTAAGAGTTGACATATTTTTGTGGAATGACCCATATTTATGTATGTCTTTATCTTTATTGCCTAAGGAAGTTCTTTAATTTTGCAATGACTTTTTTACATGGGGCCAAATTTTGATACAGGGCCCGTCTTAGGCACGAATGATAGATATACATTGATATTATGTGTTTATTTATTTAGCTCAAATCAAACATACAAATAGCCTTTATTTATGTACCTAGTTCTTTAGCATACTTACACAACATAATATTTTTTACAACGGTCAATATTGTTATATTTAATATGCTCGATTGAGTCAGTGACATACTCCCAGATAGTGATATCGATTTATCTTTTATTTATCACAATAAATTACACAATATTTTAGTCATAAGTAATTTTCCCCAAATTATATGATTTATTATAGTATTAAACAATGGAATTCGTCTTTGAAATTGCTACACAGGGTGTTGATTGCAACGTGCGCAATACATAAATACAGGGTGTAGCTAAAGAACAGGCTGGCAAAAATATTATTTCTCAGACTATGACTTACTTGAATCATCATCATCATCATTTCAGCCATAGGACGTCCACTGCTGAACATAGGCCTCCCCCAATGACCTCCACATCGCACGGTTTCTTGGTAGCGGCCTGCATCCAGCGCCTTCCTGCTACCTTGAAGTAAATTATATTAATGATGATTAGTGGCCAAAATTCACAATTTTATTTATGAATTCACTATTTTATTAAGTACACAGACACAACCATTATATGGCAGACAAATGCCGTGATTAATAATAACTTGTCAAGATGCTTGCCAAATAGTTTCCAAGTTCGTTCATCTGTTAATTTGTTTATTGCATTAAAGGACGTAGCACATTTATCTACCAGGAAAGGGATCGTAACCGTATCAACTCGAGGTGGTCAGTATTCTTTGTATGAAACTTCATACTGCAACGCACACTTATCCGCGCTGTAAGGCCCAGAATAGAAGGTGAAACGCAACTGCAACGAAATTGCAACTTTCTGATGATTCTGATAAATAAAACTGAAACTGAAAGTTTCAAGCTGGTCGCGTCATGTGGACGCTATGGCAGAAACTTAGATGCAACTCAAAAGTAACTAGCAGTTGCAGTTGCGTTTCACCGTCTGTTCTGGGCCTAACGTAAACGCCTCGCCGTTGACAGCGCGCGAAAGGCAAAGGGTGTTGATCCCTTTCCGAGTTGATAAGTCTGTTATGGCCTTTATTATAGTAGGATGTTATTTATTGCATGTTACTAATACTAATAATCTGTTCTTTTTGTTACAGAAATAGAAAAAAATCGTCGCAAGCGCAGACCATCGAACTAAAAGACACAAAACAGTCAGCAGGACTCAAAACTGAATGTGATATAATTTATTTATTTATTATTAGTACGCATTTAACTAACAAACGACAATACTCAAAAGTCAATTAACAGACTATAAAAGGCGGGAAAGAGAAAAGAACACAGATAACAATTGCAAGGAGGTTATATGTTTGAAGGATAAATTTTAATATGAGAGACACCATGAAGTCCTGCCAACACACACTGTCAAACGACATCGAATACAAAGAGGTCGTTGTCATTGGTGAGTATGTATTTTTTATTAGTATTTTAAGAGCGTTTACGTCTAGCGTGGCATGTCAAGTTTAGGTAATTTCGATGCTAGTTTTATTCACACTAAAATAATTATGACTGTGTGCGTGTTCTCACGCTCTATAGTCAAATCAAAATACTTTGATCCACCATCGTAAAAGTATGCCAGGCTGTCAAGTGACAGCTCAAGGAAACTATAAAATCTTCAAATCTTCCAACACCGACTCCATAATTATAAATAATGGTATACATTAGTCCTAATCAATAATAAATACGTAAATTCTTTATCAAATAGTAAATTATCAAAGGTTTTTTACTATTTTGAGAATATTTTATACAGCCTATGTTCAGCAGAAATTTTTTTGAATTTTAATTGTGAGAGATTTTTTCAAATCGGTTCTATTCAAAACAAACTTTTCCTGTTTACTATTCCGGAAAATGCATAACATTTCATACCCACCAGCTGCAGGGGCAGCTATTGGGTTATTTGGGGTTCTTCCTACCAGAAGGTGGGTAGCCCCTACACCCACTAAAAACCTGACTGTTTCTGCCATGATCCATATAAGTGATATGAGGGAACGCGGGACATCGCCATTGGCTGTTGCCTGTAGCATTCGTCCTTAGCCGCCACCAGACACCTCCATGTCTAGCGACCGAGGCCTGTTAGGAAGGGACAGTTGGAGACCATAAGCTGTCCTCTTGCGCAAAGGGTGTCGGCAGCGGATAACCGGAGTGTCGGCTGAGGCCTCTCGCTCCCCCTTTCCATTGCTTATTTCTGTGAAAGAAAACTTTCACAGAAAGTAAGCACACTATACCATAAGATTATTTGTCTCATCATATATTTTATACTAATGTAGATATTGTTTCCGAAAGCGAACGGGTTCATTCCGTACCTGTACGCTTCATGCGTTCTCTAGCAAAAGCTGAAAATCAGTGTTCTGCCCTTTTGAGGGTAGTGTTTATACTGAGCTCTTTGCTTTTTGCATCGCTGCGGCACACATCACTCTGACGCAGGGAACTATTTGAAACGCTAGTCATCTTTATCTTATGTTGTTTTGTCACTTTTGTTATGTTGCAACTGTTGAAATTATTAATAGTCAAACGAACTTACCTGTACGTGAAGTTCGACTGTAATGAGGATCATTTCGATTTTTAGCTGTGAATGCAGATTTATAGGGCTAAGAAATCCTTAATACACAGTGCAAAAATTTTTGTTCTACGACAAAAATTGACGAAGTTATGGCCAAATTACTAAAAAAGTTCACTGACCGCCCGGCGCGGGGACGATGACGTCATTATATCCGATCCGAACGCTGCCGGCGTACTGCGTGGATAGAAAATATTTTTTTCTAGCCAAATTATCAGTTTTAGAGAAAAACTTGTAATGACATTTATTCATCAGAATAAAGTAAGCTATCGATAGGTAATTTTGATCCATAATAATATGTGTAAGAGGGCCATACAATGAGTCTCTTGCACTGATGGAATGCTATACAGGCCATTTTTATTTTGTTCTCGACATGACTCGCCCAGTTCAATTTGTTGTCAAAGGTGATGAGTTTTGTTTATAAAGATTTCTGGTAGTTGGAGCTCTTGTAAATTCGATAATGCACTTATTAAGTACTTTTATTGACAACGTTAGGCACTATGAATTCAATTGTATGTTTTACTAGTAGATTTATTAAAACTATGAACTAAAGTTCTTTGATTTATAAACTACGACATTATTTTTTCTTTTAATCTGACGTTTGGGCTAAGTTGTATCATTTTACACCAAATAATTAACCAAATTATTAGTTGCGATTTTCAAATGTTTTTGATCTAAGTAACTTACAACATTTTACACGTCATCTTATATTGTTAATCACAAATTCAATCTGCACAACTTCAATCGTGTAAAAAGTAGTAACACGAGTCATACCTCTTGACACAACAAAAAAGCGAAAGAAGCCTCCGGTACACTTTGTTAAAAGTAGACATGTATCAATATACACGAAAGAAAAGTTCACAAAGCCTTACTTGTATCATTTGGCACAAAATTATTTTCTTTTCTATACGTCGTAGAAACATACCGATTAGATACAAAAATAGCTAATTTTTCAGAGATTCACATTATGTTATAAAGTCGATTTTGATCTAAGTCGAGTTAGATCCCTTTTCACTGGGGGTACAGACTTATGATCTCAATTTTTATTAAATTTTTAGATGTTCAGAAAAAAGTACATTTATTACCAAATAACACCTTTGTTGATGAAACGAATTTGGTGTATTGTATTGTTAATCAATTTAAACTATGATGATATAAATTTAACGGTGCAGTCCTGTTGTCCCCCCTGCTTGGCCCCCCTGGGGGAGCCAACAGGATTTCCAAATCCTGTTGTCCCCCCTGGCTAGGGGAGACAACAGGACTGGATTTTCAAGCAATGATTTGAGGACTGTTGTCCCCCCTGGTAAACATTGGGTATTTAGAAGCCATATATTTTGATAATAGTTTCTATAATAGACAATCGAGTTTTGTACCTATAATATATGGCTTTTAAATAATGTTTGCCAGGGGGGACAACAGTCCTCAAATCATTGATTACTAAACTCGATTGTCTATTATAGAAACTATTATCAAAATATATGGCTTCTAAATACCCAATGTTTACCAGGGGGGACAACAGTCCTCAAATCATTGCTTGAAAATCCAGTCCTGTTGTCTCCCCTAGCCAGGGGGGACAACAGGATTTCGAAATCCTGTTGGCTCCCCCAGTGGGGCCAAGCAGGGGGGACAACAGGACTGCACCATTTTACTGTCCCGCCCGTTTACTCGGTACGTGTGATCAAGGCCCTACTGAAAGCATTTCTTTTTTTTCCAGTGACAGCCATGGGCGTGGATTTCACAGACCATACGATCCTCAACAGTCAGTACGTGACAGCAGTGGACGAGATATTAAAAATCATAGCAGTCCGCTTCCGGAAGTTCTGGCTGCACAGCGATTACACCTTCAGATGGAGCAACGTGAGGAAGAAGCAGGACGCTTGTTTGAAGATACTGCACAATATGTCTGATACTGTGAGTTCAACCCATAGAGATACAGAGAGATAAAGTTAGATAAAGTTAAAGACTAAAGTTGTAGGTTGTAGTAGGGAATTTAGTGCAATGATTTGTATGGAGACCCCTCCACTTTGGTATAGAAGGCTCATTTTTGCACCAGTTGTTCTTTGGGTGCTCCTGAGTAGATTTCCGTCGGTAGACATCGGGAGCCCCCCCTGTGGTAGCAGGGGGAGGGGGGGCAAGTTTCCTTCTGCCGCGCTTCACTTTAAGGCCCATATCTTCAAAACTATGGGTATTAGGGCAAGGGTGGTGTCATTTTCGGATAATTAAAGGATGGCGAATTCATTTCTAGAACAAACTTTTTGCCTTTTCATACAAAAAAATAGAAATATGGAGTAAAAATCACAAAAACCAAAAAGTATTTTTTTAAATAAACGTGGTTTACTTTTAAACCACTGGAGATAATCTAATAAAAAAAATATGTCCTGAAAGCTATATTTATCAGGATTATAAATATATACCATTGTATGGTACTTTTTTCGAAAAAAGTAGGTGAAAAAAAATTTTTCTTCAGGACACAGCGGGCGAATTTTAATACGCGTCGGAAAAAAATATTTATTTTATCCATGAATTCATACTATTTGGTTCATAAGCAAGTTAAGATTATTATTTTAGAATTTATTTAGAGTTCCTGGCACATCATGCTACCATGATTTGTATTTTTTCTTCAATTAATTTTGAACTCTATGTGTAAGTCATAAGGTTGAAAATAGTTTAAATATATTGTATTATTGAAAATATCATAAGAAGAAAGCACTAAATAAAGAACTTGAATTTGTCTAAACGTCTAATGATTATTATTATTATTTTAATTAACATTTTTATTTCTACATACTATTGTACCAGTGATAAGGGAAAGGTAAGTGTGAGGAAAGAGAAGATTGATTATATTATCATAGTACGGGAGATTATTTTTAGCACAAAGGCTACGGCTGTGACCATTATAGTTGTTTTTTCAGACAGCACCAGCTTCTGCACTACTTCTTTCCAGGCAAGCTTCCGCAGCTACGGGCAATTATTCCATGTAGGCTCCATGTTGCTATCGATTCTGGTCTGGTCATAATTACTGCCCTTGATATACTGATACAAAACTGCCTAGGTTGGTGGGCACTTACAGCACTCGTTCATAAAGTAGTAATAAACATATAAAGTCAAGCATATAGTAATAAACACAGTGCACGTTTAAGGAGGTTTGCTACAGTATTTCAAGCTGAATTCTACGCTATAATTATGTGTGCACTAAAAACGGGTGTAAGAAACGCAATATTTAGGTACATCCTTAGCCACAGCCAGGCAGTACTCAAACAAAGCCATCGCCTCAGTGAAGGTTGAGTCTAGAATTAGGTATTCTAGAAGCAATCTTAAAGATGAACAAACTCTGAAGACATGACAAAGTGTCCCTAATGTGGGATACCTGGACATACGCGGATCGAATGCAATGAGAGAGCCGACAGTCTAGCGAGACAAGGGTCAGAGAGGATAACTATTGGGTCAGAACTGATAGTACCTTTATCTAAAAGCTTAGGTACGTCATGGCCATAATATGGCCATATTCAAGAATAACAGGGCTGAATGGGAAAGCTCCAACGATATAAGCCTCTCCAAATCATTCCTAAAGGGAAATACAGGGTCATGAAGAAAACTTTTCAAAGGTATGCCCAAGCAATTACAGGTACGCCAACTGGGCATTATGGAACGAATCACAAAATGGGCCTAACAACAGAAGCTCTCAAGCATGTGGAATACAATGTGGAGTCCATGAAACACTTAATACTGTAAGGATGGGTCTGCTTGGGTCATATCCGGCATCAGAAGACTATTAGGTGGCTTTCACTCAGACGCTTAATTCGCTTAACTAATGGATAGGATTTTTTTGGATGATAGGGAATAAAAAAGCGAGAATAAAGATCCTAATGGGTCGCTGTGGACTACGCTTAGGTGTGACCCTACATAAAATAACCCAGACAGCTTTGTATCAGCATTGGCTACTGGCAGTATATCAAGGGGTTCGCGTATAGGATCAGTTGCAAGCAACCGACTCAGTCTTCCCTTTATCCGACTGGTTGGGTGTGGACCAGAGTCGATAGCAACATGGAGCCTACATGGACCGATTTGCCCGTAGCTGCCGAAGCTTGCCTGGAAATGGTGAGATGTAAGTGCAAGAAGTAGTGCAGATGCAGGTGCTGTCTGAAAAAACAACTATAATGGTCACAGCCGTAGCCTATGTGTTAAAAATAATCTCCCGTACTATGATAATATCAATCCTCACTTTCCTCACACTTACCTTTCCGTTATCACTGGTACAACAGTATGTAGAAATAAAAATGTTAATTAAAATAATAATCATAATCATTAGACGTTTAGACAAATTCAAGTTCTTTATTTAGTGCTTTCTTCTTATGATATTTTCATTAATACAATGTAATTAAACTATTTTCAACCTTATAACTTACACATAGAGTTCAAAATTAATTGAAGAAAAAATACAAATCATGGTAGCATGATGTGCCAGGAACTCTAAATAAATTCTAAAATAATAATCTTAACTTGCTTATGAACCAAATAGTATGAATTTATGGATAAAATAAATATTTTTTTCCGACGCGCATTAAAATTCGCCCGCTGTGTCCTGAAGAATAATTTTTTTTCACCTACTTTTTTCGAAAAAAGTACCATACAATGGTATATATTTATAATCCTGATAAATGTAGCTTTCAGAACATATTTTTTTTTTTAGATTATCTCCAGTGGCTTAAAAGTAAACGACGTTTATTTAAAAAAATACTTTTTGGTTTTTGTGAATTTTACTCCATATTTCTATTATTTCGTACGAAAAGGAAAAAAGTTTGTTCTAGAAATGAATAAGCCATCCTTTAATTATTCGAAAATGACACCACACTTGCCCTAATGCCCATAGATTTGAAGATATGGGCCATAAAGTGAAGCGCGGCAGAAGGAAACTTGCCCCCCCTCCCCCTGCTACCACAGGGGGGGCTCCCGATGTCTACCGACGGAAATCTACTCAGGAGCACCCAAAGAACAACTGGTGCAAAAATGAGCCTTCTATACCAAAGTGGAGGGGTTCTTGCACTAAATTCCCTACTATTGTGAGCACTCAAAGGTCGTAGATTTGAATTTCTAACCATAGTAATATTATGAACTAGCGGCCGCCCCGCGACTTCGTACGCGTGGATCCCGTTTTACCCCCTTCATCTATCTTACGCGGTTTACATTTTTTCATACAAATGTTTTTTCCCGCTAACGCCCGTTCCCTTTGGAATTTCGCAATATCCTGTTGTAACTAAGCTTTAAGTTTACTAAGGGACCTGCATGCCAAATTTCAAGCGTCTAACTTAAGCGGTTTAGATTTTTCATACAAAAGGATTTTCCCTGTAATTCCTGTTCCTGTGGGAATTCCTAAGTATCCTATAACCTGCCCAGGAGTATGAAGAATAATTGTACCAAGTTTCGTTAAAATCCGTAGAGTAGTTTTTGTTTTTATAAGGAACATACAGACAGACAGACAGACAGACAGACAGACAAAAATTTTACTGATTGCATTTTTGGCATCAGTATCGATCACTAATCACCCCCTGATAGTTATTTTGAAAATATATTCCATGTACAGAATTGACCTCTCTACAGATTTATTATAAGTATAGATTTCTAACGTAAATGTAATGTTGTTTAATTGTGAAGTTCTCGTTCCCTAATTTAGGTGATCAAAAGAAGAAAAACTGAATTTGACAACAACAACATACTCCCTGAAAGAACAACTGGAAATACTTCAGGTAAGAAGCACTTTATTAACCGATTTCAATAAAAGGGGATGGTTCTCAATTCGGTTGGTATACTTTTTTTTCTATGTTATGTACGTACACCGATTACGCCGAGATCTCCAACCCGATTTACGTGATTCTTTCTTTGTTCGAAGCTTTATTTTATTTAATTGAAATAATTCATTTGTTTCCAGTAATTACCTACTCGTTAAATAATTTTTAAGTATTGTAAGTTAAGCGTATTGTCGATGATACTTAATTAAAATTTCGTCTTTCTTTCTCTCATTCTATTTTGGTGGACTTTTTTTGGAGGCGGTTTAATTTTAGATTAACATAAAGAAGTTAAGTAGTAAAAACTTAATATTAACTGTAATGTCACTGCTTCGGGAGAATAATGTCAACCTCGAAATTCTAGGCAAAAAATTCAAAGCCTTCATGGATCTACTCTTTGAGTTATCCTTGGAGAAAGGAGTGATGAACGACAGAGAGTTAAGAGAACATGTAGACACGATGATTGTGGGCGGCTACGACACGACCGCCACCGTGTTAATGTACACACTTCTACTGCTGGGATCCCACCCTGAAGTGCAGGAGAAGGTCTACCAGGAGTAAGTATCATTATGATGAACATCAGGTAATCGTCATCATTTAGCCAGAGGCCGTATACTTCTCGACTAATGCACTGGTATTATATTATCTGTGTCGCGACCTTCCGTTCACCGAGTGGGAAGCCTGCATGTTTCATGAAGATAACTAAATTTGATTTTACCGGGCATATGTAGGATTTGGCCTACACTCCACATGCGCAGCCAGAAGGGTTGGAAAATATTGTTTAATGTACAAAAACTGTTATAAATTACCTTCCAGATTAAAAGTGGTGCTTGGTGACTCAGATCGTGACGTGGAGAAACACGATCTTTCCCAACTGGTGTACTTGGAGGCAGTTCTAAAGGAGAGCCTGAGATTATACCCGATTGGGCCGGTGCTGGGCAGGCGGCTGGACAAGAACGTGCAATTGAGTAAGGGTCACAGGATGTAACGGGTCGCGCATACGAACACGGTAGAAACAAAAAAAACTTGAGATGATCGCCTCAACTCTCGCAGCGCGACATAAAGGATGATGGCTCATCAAATAAACACTGTAGCACCCTAAGGACGGCCACCTGGCTTAGTGATTCATTCACTGGATCACTATGACAGAGCTCGCGGGTGTGATCCCCGCATCATTCTACAATTATGAAACTCTTGCAGAGAACTACACGCTAGCAGCTGGGCGGTCCTGCTTTTTGCTTTTGTTTGGGATTCACAAGCATCCCATGTGGGGAGCAGACGTGGACCAGTTCAATCCCGACCGGTGGATGGATCCGGCTAGTTTACCAGACAACCCTAACGCATTCGCTGCCTTCAGTTTGGGGAGGAGGATGTGTATAGGTAGGTATTAAAATTTATAAAACTAAAACCTGTGTTAGAGAAACTAGCTATAATAGATCGTTTCATCCACTAGTGTTAGAGAAACTAGCTATAATAGGTCGAGAAAAGCGCAGTCATAATGTGCGTGTGCACTCTTAGATAATTTAGCGTGTACCGATTACACTCAAACATTAGCGGAAGACTGGTGAAGCGCGTCTTCGTGGATGAAACGATCTAGTATTGGCCGCTTGAATTTCAGTCTCAAGTGTCAGCATTTCATCCCCATTTCAATGACAGTCGCAACATTTTAGTCAGACGGTGCTTTCCAACTTACCAAAGGAAAATTGAGGATTTGGCCTCCACTCCTCACGCTGGTCAGGCGGGTTAGGGGATCCTGATGTTGGTAGCCTCATACGAAACCCACGGAAAGAATGGGGGTGGTTCTATTCTACTATATTATTAAAGAGATAACCTACGAGTATATTATGTATTTCAGGCAAAACCTACGCGTACATGTCGCTGAAAACAACCCTCGCTCATGTTCTCCGAAAATACCGCTTCAATGGTGACCACACACAACTGGAACTCAAATTTGTCGTGTTGCTGAAGCCAACGTCAGGTTACTACGTCAGCATTGAGGAACGGCTTTAGAACTAAATAATTTGTTAATTACTTTTATATCCAATTATTAATAAAGTCGAAAGAAATGTTTTTTTACAGGCCTATTCAAACCTGAGCGATATTCGCTGCCGCTGTGGGTAGAGGTACATACCACGCGGGTTTCGCTCAGGTATTTAGTATCAAGTACCACGGCTAGAGCGTTTTCTCTGCCGCAGACGGTAGCGAATATCGCTTAGGTCTGAATAGGCCTTTAGAACGGTCAGCGGATGACGGGCCATAGATTGAATACTGACTTCTTAGCTGGAAAACGAGTAAAAAATGTCATTACATTGTGACACAGTAAGTATTCCAGTTTTACAATTTTCAAAGACTTTAATAATGTTCCTCATTGTTGGTTGTAGGTACTCGTACCAATTATGTAATTAATATCGATATTGAATAATAAAAATCCCTAAGAATTTACGTAAAATATGTGAAAATAACAAAATAATCTAGGGTCAATTGTTTATTGTTTTTGTCTATGGAAATAAAAGTTAGTCTAGAAAACCGCCAACTGCGTTTCATTAACAGGTTATGGGCCCAGACTCAAAAATTGCGAAAGTTTATAATTTCCGTGTATAAAGTGAAAAATTATGTCGACGAACTATAGCAAACGTTTTCCAGTGCTTTTTTTTAAGTGTGTATCTTTATTTTATTTTTGTTAGTTGAGATGTACCTACTTGCAATGGAAGCTAGTGGAGTAGGTACTCCAATAATTGCAGAGCTGTAATTTAGTTTGTGAATGTAATTTGTTAGTTCCATAAGTTTGGTTAAATTCTTTTAAGCTTCAATCACACCAACGCGTGCAGATCGCCATCGCCAGCGTGATCAGATCATAGGCACAGTAAATATATGAGCTAAAGCAGTACGGAAACTAAGCCCTTTCGTCGAGTTAAATACCTACACTTCAACTGAGTGTTAGGGTTGTCACTCTTAATCTTTATATATTTAATAAGGTTTTTACTTACTTATTTATTAAAACGTTTATTTAGGTTATTTAATTATCAAATACGTAATTTAATAAATTATTTAACTAAGTAGTTAAAAAAATTATAAATTAGGTACACGTACAATTCATCACTTAGTACAAAAGCGCGCTGAGCAAATTACTTTATCAAATAGAACACACAAATTGTTAAGAACCGTAATTACGTAATTTAAAAATAACTACTAGAAAATCAGATGTAAGCATTTTATTTAAAAAGTAATATTTAATCATTTTTACCATTCAGAATTATTAGGAAGTTCAAAAAATGAAAATTCTGGTTTTGAAGATGCCGAGTTAAAGTAGCTAGCCGTATACTACGCAATACACTCGTGGCATGTTTTTAAAAATACAGCGGCCAGTGGATGCAATAAAATTATTATTAAAAACGCAACGCGCGCGACACCCGCGACGGATGGACTGCGAGGTTCGCTTAGAGCTCGTGTAAAGCGTGCGTCTGTGTACGTGAGTCTGATTTCGAGCGTTTGTATGAAGCTTCCGTACTGTTTGATTTATCTACTGTGTCATAGGCCAATGACAGGTCGCGCGACCTATGACAGTTCACGCGCGCGACCTGTCATTGGCCTATGATCGCGCCGTGATCGCGACGGCGATGGCGGTCTGCACGCGTTGGTGTGGTTGAAGCATTAGGTGACTGACTAAGTATAATGGGTAATGTAGGCTTTGAAGCTTTTTGCTGTGTCTTCTTTTCTGATTATTTCTTGTTGATAATATGGGTTAATATTTAGCAAGCGGGATGTCCTTTTATGGTTATATCAGGCTGAAGCAAATCTAGGGCACTGTAAGAGGTGTTTCCAAGTTTGTGGAGTCTGGTCATTGCAGGGACAGTGGTCATCTGCGACGATATGGAAACGATGTAGATTGTAGGTATTCCATGATAACCTATGATTAACCTTTATATTGTAAGTATAAATTAATGTCGTTATTATAAACAATAAATGTTGATAAATCTACTGAGTTGTGTTTTACTATCGAATCTTCTAATTATAGTATTACCAAAGGGTCACTTTCAGAGGGTCATATTTTAAGAGGTCACTTTCAGAGGGTCATATTTTAAGAATGGACGTATATAGCGGAGCACGCCTCTCCCCCAGAATTTGTCTAGTCCCCCGTCCCCCTTTTTGATTGCCAAAAAAATTCAAGGTAAGCTAGTCTGTAAATTAACAGTCTCTACTCGTATATTTGCGAAATACAATCAAGCGCTAAAGTGCTAAACGAAAGCAATAAATTTTAATGCGACTATTAATAGCTGTACTTGATAGCAATTTTGAAGATTTTTTTAAAGAAATTTTACGATTACCCAAGCTTTGTGTTTGGCGATAGATCAAGATTTATGTGACAATACGTGCGAGAAATCGCGGGAAGAATAATATCATCAGACTCCAAAGGCATTAAAAAACTCATTAAAAAACTTAACCTTTATAAAAAAGCGTAACATCCTAACCAGCCTCGCATCGGGTCGGTGGCGTATTTATTTATTTAAAAAGAAAATAGCGTCGATCACAAATCACAATAGATCGGTACCGTTCGTAATGATACTGTGACTTCATAGAACCAGAATAGCCGCTATTTGCAAAAAAAAAAATTAACAGAGGCGGACTTAATGATGGGATGCATTATCTAATAGTACTTGATAAATAAGTAATTGTTTTTATTGCTTTGCACTTAGTTTACGTTTAAATACGTTGTAAAGATTGTTTTACTGTATATCTTCTTAGTTGTCCTATAAAATAAAATAAAAAACGAAAAATAAACTTCTCTCATCGACTGTACGAATAAAAACTCGCTAAAAATGCACAACGAAAAGTTAAAGTCGCCAAATACATACATAGGTACCTGTTTTTTTCGCAATCAACCTTAGATTTTTTATTTACTGGTTAGAGCTTGTTCTGATAACAACTATTGAAACTGACCGATCGTCATCTATTAAACTATTTGTTATTATTATTATATATCTTATAATTAAGCTCAATAATAATTCACAATGACGTTCCTAGTACCGATACTAGTATGTGTGGCGTGTGTGTTGTTCTCTTACTATCTGTGGAAGAAGAGTTGTCCTGACACGGACAACGAACCCCCAAAGTGTCCTGGAGGCCTGCCTTTATTGGGACATGCTCTTAAATTCGTGGGAGACAGCAGCCGTAAGTTTTTCTTTCGACATCCTTAAAAAATTGTAACAACTTAAAGAGAAACTCCTATGTTCTTCTGATTCATTTCGTTGCGGGTCCAATGACAGTTTGACTTTCCCCTGGCACATACTTGACCTTATTGGTTTGGTTTTTATTGGCGGTCAAGCTGTAGATGGTGGCTACTCAGAAGTTGCAGTGCGGTTAGGGTTGCCAGGTCACAATCCGGCTTTAGCCGGACATGTTTGGCTTTTTACGGTCTCGTCTGGTCCGGCTAAATATTGGCTTGTCCGGCTTTTTATGTGGCTGCTGCGCCAAGCTAAAGACGAGAATATCAAGCGAACGCTTTTTTGGACCTGGCAACCCTAAGTGCGGTGGGAACGAGAGGTGGGAATAATCCCGAACCTGAAGGGAAGTTTGATAGTTAAATACAAAATGTTATAAAACATATAAATGTATGTTTTTTCTAAAATATTTAAAATACGTCAGTTGCATAATTTGTAATACTAATTGATTTTAAAAATAAAGTTTTCATTACGTAAATAATTTTTTCTGGCTCGAACACTCGGATTGCAGCACAGTTTGATATAAAATTGCCTCAGCGTTATTAACATTTGACAACAACTTTATATTCATGAATTTTTGCATTGCCTAATAATAATATGTAAATTATGACGTGTTTACCAAATACGAACATATCAAGTCATTTTAAGGTCATAGCGCGTAGCGGTCAAATTAAGCACATTTTATGGGTTCATAAGTTTTTTATTAGCACTGACTAAAGTGATAATTTTAATATACGCGGTGATTAGTCAAATTTTTAGGAGCTACTCAGAATCAGTAACTTAATTGATTTACGAAGAAAATAAATTAAACTTCAATTGAACGACCATTACTTTTGAAGTAACTAATCTATCTACAATCTATACCGTTAACTAGAAAGAAAGAAAGAAACAAGAAATATTGTTTACTTAGTCCAAAATCATCGGAAATACAGATGTGTTACATGAACTTGTACAACTTTTCAGGTCTGTGGCGTGTCATAAATGATTTTGGCAACAAGAGTTATGCTAGAGGCGGGGTAATTTCAGCTTCAATTGGGCCTAGGACTATTTATGGTGAGTTCTATTATACTGTATTTACAAAAAAGATATAAAACCTAAAAACACATGCTTAGGTTCATCAGAAAAAAAAAATAGGAGTCCACAACCCGATCGAGTTAACTGCGACTCTCCCTCCCACTTACCTGACACTTCCCCGCGTTTGCACCATCCGTACCAGTGACGCAACATACCAAAGAATACTCATACTCCAAGAGCAACATACAGCTGCCAAGTGCGCAGTTAACCGGGTTGTAAATGGTGAAAGCACAGAAAAAGTACCCTTAAACATACAACAAATATATTTTTACAAATATTTGACTGTCAGTTAGATGAAACAGCTCATTTCATAGTTTATTTAGAAATTAAAAAAATGTTGTGCTTGTGCCAAAGTAATGCTTCAACCACACCAACGCGTGCAGAGCCCCGATTACGGTAACTTTTATAACGTCTACAATCCAGACCCGTTTCTGATTCTGCGATACGATTGGTCAAATCAGCTGACGTACGCTGTTGAACGACCAATCGTATCGCAGAATCGAGAAGCGTGTCTGGATTGTTGACGTTAAAAATTACCCTAATCGGGGCTCTGATCGCCATCGCCGACGCCAATGACAGGTCGCGCGAACTGTCTTGGATCTCGCGACCTGTCATTGGCCTATGATCGCGCCTGATCGTGCCGGCGATGACGATGTGCACGCGTTGGTGTGGTTGAAGCTTAACATCTATCTGTATTTACTGAAACGGAGACGGGTATGTAGGAACTTGTTTACTTTTTCAGCTGTGACGGATCCTGATGATGTCTTCGCGATAACCAACGCCACTTTAGAGAAGGACGGCATCTATGACTTTGGAAAACCATGGATCGGGGACGGACTTATTACAGCCAAACGTAAGAGCAACACAACTACAACCCGGTCGAGTTAACTGCGTACCTGGGGCTGTGACGTCACATCGATGTTCTGGTACGAACGGGGAGAACGCAAGTGGGAGGGAGAGCGCATTTAGCTCGATCGGGTTGTACACTATTAATGTGTACCTACACCAAATTTTGCCACTGCTTGGTAAAAACAGTAAATAAGTAGTGTCATTTTGTATGTCTCCAGCGATAAGTTGGAAGAATCAAAGAAAGCTGCTGAATCCGGCCTTCAGTCAGACTGTGATGGACAGTTTCATGGGTGTATTTAATAAACAGGCACGGAAACTGGTAAAGGACTTGGAGACAGAAGTAGGGAAGGGCCCTTTCGACCACTGGGAGTATACTAAGCTTAATACTCTTGAGACCACATGCTGTGAGTATATACAGGGTGGAATTTTGTAATGACAACTGGAGGAAAGTACTTTTAATAGGTACTGTAGATAGNACCCCAGAGACATTTTAGAAAACATTCATTTATTTTTGAAAAGAAATAGAAATGTCACGTGCACTACACATTACTGTTCATAAGTAAAGTCCGGTCGCCGAGCACATGGAATTTCGTCCAAAGACCCCAAGCTACCCATCCTTATCGCTCGCGCGTAATTATATATCTGTCGCGACTGTGCGACGGGCGGCCGCAATCATCTGCTCGGCGACCGGACTTTAAAGTAAAACTGAGAATAATTTGTTCCATTCCAGTGTCAGCCCTTGGCGTGGACTTTACAGACGATACGATTCTCAACAGCCAGTACGTGACAGCGGCAGAGGAGATGTTCGGCACCATAGTGGACCGCTTCCGGAAGTTCTGGCTGCACAGCGATTACACCTTCAGATGGAGCAACTTGAAGAAGAAGCAGGACGCTTGTTTGAAGATACTGCACAATATGTCTAATACCGTGAGTAGGTTGTGAGCACCCAAAGGTCGTAGATTTTGATTTCTATTTCTTTTTTTTGACGCCGAGTGTATGTTACCAGCAATGTGTAAGTGTATAAATCCAGCATTCTTTATCTAGGCAATGTATAGAATGTTTTTTATGGGATAGCAGTTCCCTTTCTATGATCTGAGGATAGGAGGCAAACGAAATGTCAAAAACGCTCTGGTAATCAATGTCACTCATTCTTAACGTTCTTTATTAATTTGTAGGTGCTCAAAATAAGAAAAACTGAATTCAACAGCAACAACACACTCTCTGATAGAACAACTGGAAATACTTCAGGTGAGCACATTAAATTTTAATTCAGGGGGGAAAAATAGCTTTTTTAAAAACTTAATAGCAACCCTGCCACTGATTCGAAAGATTAATGTCAGCTTCGAAATTCTAGGCAAAAAATTCAAAGCCCTCATGGATCTACTCCTTGAGTTATCCGTGGAGAAGGGAGTGATGAACGACAAAGAGATAAGAGAACACGTGGACACGATGATTGTGGGCGGCTACGACACGACCGCCGCCGTGTTAATGTTCACACTTCTATTGGTGGGATCCCACCCTGAGGCGCAGGAGAAGGTCTACCAGGAGTAAGTATCATCATCACCAACATCAGGTAATCATCATCATATTTTAGCCAGAGGACGTATAGGTACTCGCGTCTCGACGTCTCGCGACCTTCTCTAGATCATCAGTTCACCGAGTGGGAGGCTTGCATGTTTTATAAAAAAAATTATGTTACCAGGCATAAGGAGCATTTCGCCTACACTTCTCCCAATCCCAACACGTCTTGGTGTGCTTTTGTTGTAATATATTGAGGTTCTTATCGACATTCAAAAATGTTGTTATTAATGTACCTACAAAAAGTATTATATTATTTGTTTCAACTACCAAATTATCTATACCTTCCAGATTAAAAGAGGTGTTTGGTGACTCAGATCGTGATGTGGAGAAACACGATCTTTCCCAACTGGTGTACTTGGAGGCAGTCCTTAAGGAGAGCATGAGGTTATACCCGATTGTGCCGGTGATGGCCAGGCGGCTGGACAGAAATTTGCAATTGAGTAAGGGATAGTAAATACTGAAACATAATGTAGCAACAATAATGTTAAACGAAAAGAGGATCATGAATCTACTTTTTGGGGGACCAAACATCGTTCGTTAGTTTCAGCCAAAAGACGTCCACTGCGATACAAAGGCGTCCCTCAAGGATTTCCACAATCTAGGTACTTCCCGCGACCTACACCAGATCGTCGGTTCACCTAATGGGAGACTTGCCCAGGTCTTTCCGTCCGCAGTCGCCACCCGTGAACTTTTCTGTCTCAACGGACATCAGCTCTTCGAGCTATGTGTCCGAGCCACTGCCACTTTAGCAATTCTGCGGGATATGTCAGACTGTACAATATTGTATCATGTTCGAAACACCCATTAAACTTCCAGAAAACTACACGCTAGCAGCTGGTCGTTCCTGCTTCTTGTTTCTGTTCAAGATTCTCAGGCACCCCATATGGGGGGCTGATGTGGACCAATTCAACCCGGACCGGTGGCTGGACCCGGCCACGCTGCCAGAAAACCCAAACGTGTTTGCTACCTTTGGCTTAGGCAGGAGGAATTGTATTGGTAGGTTTTATAATACTAAAACTTGTTTTAGGGAAACAGCTATTGACCGCGTGAATTTCAGTATCAGGTCTCAACATTTCATCCCCATTTCAATGACTTAGTCGCACAGTGCTTTCCAATTTCATCCTCATCATCATTTCAGCCATAGGATGTCCACTACTGAACATAGGCCTTCCCCAATGATTTTCACAATGACCGCTTGGTGGCGGCCTGCATCCAGCGCCTTCCTGCTACTTTTTGAGGTCGTCGGTCTACCTTGTGGACGTCCTACGCTGCGCTTTGTGGTACGTGGCCTCCACTCTAGAACCTTGCTGCTCCATTGGCCGTCAGTTCCAATTTACCAGAAGCAAATAGAGGATTTGGCCTGCACTCCTCACTGGCAGGCAGGTTAGGGGGACCTGACGTTAGTCGCCTCTCTTGCCTCTTACGACATCGACGGAAAGAATGAGGGCGGTTCTATTTTAGTCTATTAATATAGAGTTTTTACGAGTTATTATATTTCAGGCAAAACCTACGCCTACGTGTCGATAAAAACAACCCTCGCTCATGTTCTCCGTAAATACCGCTTCAAGGGTGACCACACACAACTGGAATTGAAATTGGACGTAATGCTAAAACCAGCGTCAGGTTACTACGTCAGCATTGAGAAACGGAATTAGAACTAGTCTTTTATAACATTTTTACTCATTTGGGGTGATTGAAAACCAATATAACTAATTTAATTCTAGTAATTTTCTGATGGTTGGTTTCAAGGGAAGGTTAGGTATTGCATTTAGTAGCTATAGATGATAAAATTTTATTATAAATCTTTAGGTAAATGAATAAACGCTGATAAATCTGCATATTTGTGTTTTATTATCTAATCTACTAAATTATTACCAGAACATTTGCCTAACCCTGTCTATGGGTTATAAGTATTGAGAAGAAGCGTGAAGTACGACCAAGCAGTCTTGATAATCTGAAAAAAGGTGTTTTTAATCATTACAAAAATACAGAGTTCTCATTGTAATTAAATTACAAGGCTTTAAAATACTTACAGTGGTGTAGCTTGCTAAACAAATAATTGAGAATCCATAAGTTGTTACGTAAACATTTTTCTGAGATCTGTAAAATGTAAGTTACATTTTTAAAAAATCTACTCATTTTCTTTACTAAAAGTTGGCTGATAGCACAAGTTACAAATAATTTAGNGAATTTAGAATAGAATAGAATAGAATAGAATAGAATGGACTTTATTGAACACAGTAAGCACAATTTATAAACAATAACAACAGAACAAGAAAAAAATATTAGTGGGCCACTGCGCCAATGGACTTAAAATTTATCTTGACATGCTTGAAGGGAATGTCAAGAAGCTGGTCTGCTGCGGAAGCTTTTTGAAAGATAAAATAAAATATTTTCCTAAAATGATATTTTAAGTGGGTTACCTGTGAATCATTATTAGAATAGACTTCTTTATTCCATTAGCTGCGGTATACCATCCACTATTATACAAAGCATCTGCCACTCTTTCACTCTGCAAAACACATAATAACGTGACACTTGTAAAATTAAACTAAAAATTGGTTCAGCGGTTAAAGCGAGAAAACATAGAAACTTTCTGTAAAATAAAGCACGTTTATAGGTCGATTTGACTTATGCTTCGACCCATGACAGTCCGCGCAACCTGTCATTGGCCTATGATCGCGTCGGGGATGGCGATCTGTGTGACGCGTTGGTGTGGTTGAAGCTTTAAAGCCCATTATAATAATTATGCTGCAAAGTTATCTATAGCTACTATCAAAGGATATTTCACTTACAGATTCCAATAGTTTTTGACCATGCCAGCACAAAAGCCACGTCTGTGAAAGGGAGGTAGCTAGAAACGTCTTGTACATCAACGAGTTCCACTTTTCAATCATCTGTAACATGGTAAAAAGTCATCGAAGGTCCTGTCTATTCTGAAACTATGCACAGAGGGATTCAAGCCTTTTCCTCATCATCATTTCAGCCACAGGACGTCCACTGCTGAACATAAAGTCTCTCCCAATGATTTCCAAATTGGCTGGCAGAGGCCTGCATCCAGCGCCTTCCTATCAGAAGTCGTTTGTCTACCAAGCCTTAATGAAATTCAATTTTAATTACAGGTTTCTTTTAGCAGTATGTTCGTTAAACTATTATATTGTGACTTCGCAGTGGGTATATTAATTTTCTCGTTCTAATTTGGCTCTACAATTTATTTTGCGATGAGGGATTCAAAGGTTTTAAAAAATGACCAGTAAATATTATTATGTTCATGATTTAGAATTTAGACTTACAACACAGCAAAATCCACAGAAACAGATAATAATAGAGCTGTTGAAGAAGTTTATGAATATAGCAAAGCTGAATAAATCCTCTACGTCTCCAGATAATCTACGGCAAATAAAATAATAAGTTGTGATTAATTCATATAGTAATGTAATAATAATTGTTATTTTTAGTTAAACAAAATATTGAAGTTTCACCTGATCAATGCATTATGTCGCACTATAATTTTCTTCAGCTCATTTTCTTGCTTAGAATTTATTTCATTGTTACTTAGTCGAGGAAGGTGTCCATTTTCCGGAAAATCTTTAATTTGCTGTCCTGAAAATAAAATGTACCATGATTTTGTGTGATGGAAGGCTCAGGATCTTTTTATACAAAGTTACGTTTTCGGATACTTGGGTTAAGTTTTTGGAAACTTAGCTTTTACCTAACGGATATTCAGGTATGAGCTGCTGGTCTACCGGCACATGGAAAAGCCTCGTGATTCGGACGCTCATCAAATCAAACTGGGTGGTGATGTGGCTAAGAAATACGCAGAACAGAAGATCACCAGCGAGCATGTACCATAGCGTTAACAGAGCTGAAAAGGAAAAACGTGATGAGTGATAAATGATAATGGTAAAAACATAGTGCCTGTTCCACGACTAACGCCCGTATTCACAAACATTACTATGAGGTCTCACAGTGCGCGTGGACGCACAGGGTGACATACAAACCAACCACAGAGCTCTATTGAACGCTGTGCATTCGATTTCGATTTGGCAAAAATTTGACGCGCGTTTTCAAATCGCGCGACTAGACATCGTAGTATTTACTTGTGGTATATTTACCTACCATACAATCGATCACATGAGCGCGCGTTAACGCGTGTCAGCGAGCGTTGACGCGGCAATCAGAGAAAAATTGTCTAGACGCAGGCGATTAATAGTCAAACGAACTTACCTGTACGTGAAGTTCGACTGTAATTATGCGAAGTTGTTGTCTCGTCCGAAGATGATGAAAGATAACTAGTGTAGTCCCGGCTTACATCCTCTGGCGTCACACAATTTTAAAGCTAAAATAAAATATTTCTGAACGCAGTCGTACCTAGGTCCCACCACGCCATCTATACCTGTCAACTCATTCAAGTTTAAAGTAATTAGGTTTAATTTTACAACTGGGGCGTTTTGTAATTACTTACTCTTAATTATTACAATAACCAAGGGTTTGGGTGGGACTCATCATCTTCGGACGAGACAACAACTTCGCATAATTACAGTCGAACTTCACGTACAGGTAAGTTCGTTTGACTATTAATTATGCTCGTTGTTGTCTCGTCCTCGATGATGAAAGATAACTAGTGTAGATGTTCAAAGATAAAAGTTGTAAAATTAAACAAACATGTTCAAATTGTAAAATTAAACAAACATGTTCAAATTGTAAAATTAACCAAACATGTTCAAATTGTAAAATTAAACAAACATGTTCAAGTAAAAAAAGTATTGTTTTATTCAAAGTTTCATTAATTAGTAACTATTACCCTTATCACTACTTAATCAGACATATTTTTCTTATGAGCTAAATAGCATTCATATAAACTTATTAATTTCTAAAAATGTTCACTGCAAAGTAACTATTATTTATAATGAGTCTATTGTAACACCTTCAAAATACTGTTTGTGGATTCCCCAGACCAAGCAGCTGTTCTCCGTATAACTTCAATATTATCACTTTTTTTTTTTTTTTTTTAACATTGCAGATGTTGTAGCGTGCCTAATGCTATGAATGTATGGTAAAGATTGATGTGTCTATACCACTTTCTGTCATGCACGTCTCTATCCAACAGCTGATTGTGCTGGAGGAAACCTTTTTGTGTGGTTTTCTAAGATGTTTTATTGCACCAAACTAATCACTAAGTGCTTGAGCAGGACAGATCTCTACTTTATCCCTAAAGAAAGGTAATGTAAATGGCTGACACGTATCAGACTTGACCAGAGGTCTTTATTAATTTTAATTTAATTTATCAATTTTAATTGTTACACAATCATCCTTAATAACTATGTTGTTTATTTCAATTAAATTTAATGTTCGCATTCTTTGACATGTGGCTAAAATTACAATATAGCAGTCTATTTTTATATTCCATTTCAATACCTATACTTAAGAACTGTGGATACATCCCATGTATCATTATATTTAGGAGCACTAGGTCTTAACTTAAAGAATCCTTTAAACAATCTTTTGATATTTTCATCTGTTTCGTCGAGGTGAGTACCTATAAAATTAATGACAATGCTGATCTAATATAGTTCAAACTACCTTATGACAATACCTCATGAAACTTTTTAGTTAAATAAGTAATAACATCTGGAAAGCTTGGCTTATTTGTTGATAGCCATAATTCTTGTGCATACTTAGTCCATGCTACAATACATGGTTGGTATTGTTTTAATGTATTAACAGATATAGACACTGACATGATCTCGGATCTCATAATCTCACTGATTCCAGATTTTATGAAGGCCTGCCTGATAATACTCCTGCCATCAGTCTAGGTTCTTGTGCACAGGGTGTGGTTCTTTAGAATTTTGTAATATAAGTAAATCTTTAGTAAGTTTCAAAATTGATGGTTTGTGAACTAGCTATCTCATGAACATAATATGGTGTTCCAATATGGAACTACCCCTATGCCCTTTATCTGAAAACTATTTTTTCCACGGTTTTAAGGATCATGTTGGAAATTAATATGAAACTTCAGTTGATATCAACAAAGTGTAAATGCATCAATTGCAAATGCATCCAGGTCAGGACGCGGTGATACAAAACAATGACATTTCTTGTTAGTCTTTATTGCGAAGATCATGGTTCTCAAAACCAAGCCGTCGCCAAAATAAAAGAAGAAGAAGAAGAGATCTATGGATGGTGTTCCTAAGGTTGAAGTTATTTGTTCAAAATGTAATTAATTTCCCACTCTATGTTACCTGGTGGTTTCCTTGATTCAAAAAACTGCAATTACATTAATTTTGGTGTTTATGTACATAAACTGATTATAAATATCTCTTAATTCACACCATTGCCATATTTGTTTTGCAAGGCTATGTAAATGTAGATATTGAATACCACCTAGTCTGTTTATACATATGGATAGCAGTAACATTGTCTATTCTAAGAAGTATTTGGTATTTTGTTAACTTTGATGCAAAGCAGACAGGCAGCTTTTAACTCAAGAGCATTTATATGAGAGCCTAGTTTGTCCTCTGACCATACTACGCCTGTAAGACTTGTACCACATGAAGCTCCCCATACTGTCATAGAAGCATCACTAAATATCTCGGATATTTAAGTATTTTTTCTAATAGTATTCTTAGATTCATTTACACTATTGCTCCGCCATGTCAAGTCCTCTCTACATTGATTGTGAAAAGAAAGTATTCATTTTTATCATTATACTTTTTAACTGCAAGAAATTTTAGTTAATTATTTGGTGTATAAAATACCATATTTTATGGCTAGACATATAGCTTCAAGCTTACTTGGCACATGAACTTATTGTGAACATCACCTTTGACTATAA